TCTCTCTCTCTCTCTGCTTCCTGAGCTTTGTCATACCTCGTCTTAAAGCTATGTATGGTTCCTGCCTCCACTACTTCACTTGCTAGGCTATTTCACTTCCTGACGAGTCTATGACTGAAGAAATACTTCCTAACGTCCCTGTGACTCATCTGAGTCTTCAGCTTCCAATTGTGACCCCTTGTTTCTGTGTCCCATCTCTGGAACATCCTATCTCTGTCCACCTTATCTATTCCATGCAGTATTTTGTATGCCGTTATCATGTCTCCCCTGACCCTTCTGTCCTCAAGTGTTGTCAGTCCGATTTCCCTCAACCTTTCATTGTAAGATATTCCCCTGAGCTCCGGAACTAGCCTTGTTGTAGACCTTTGTGTGTGTGTGTGTGTGTGTGTGTGTGTGTGTGTGTGTGTGTGTGTGTACTCACCTATTTGTGGTTGCAGGGGTCGAGACTCAGCTCCTTGTGTGTGTGTAAACACAGAACACCAGAACAGAGGAACACTACTATAGGCCTACTGCAGGGCCTTCTGAAATCCAGCCTCCTATTAATCAAATATTTGTCAAATTTAGCCTCAAGGCTTCCCAAGGTTTTAGATTTATTAATCTTACTAACTCATATATTTCTTCAACTTTTTTTAAAAAGTTCTTAGTGTTTTAGCCTCAATGATCCTACCAGGCAGATTGTTCCACTCATCAACTACTCTATTTCCAAACCAGTATTTTCTTTTAACCTTTTAAAGCCTAAACTTATCTAATCTGAATGCATCACCTCGAGTTCTTTCTTGGGTGGATATTCTCAGGACGTTACTTATATATTTTATAAATGTTTAACTTCCACTTATTCATTTGATTCGTGTCTTCTCTTATTCTATGTCTTGGGAGAGAATGTAAGTTCACGAATCTCGATGTCTCCTATTGTGGAAAAAATCATGTGCAGTGGATTAATTTTGTCATTCTTCTCTGCATTTTCTCCACTGGACTTACATCCAGTTATTGGTATGTCTTTTTTACGTTGTGTTTGGCCAAGTTCTACATTATTTAGTTTGTAAGTGCTGGGGTTGTTTATATTTCCGAGGTTCAGGACTTGACATTTATACACTGACCTGCATCTGCCGCTTTTCTGACTACCAAACAAGCTTGTCTGAAGCCTCCTGAAGTTCACTAATATCTTCCACTGAATTAATTATCCTGCCTATTTTTGTATCGTCGGTGAATTTGTTCATATCTCTTGTGATTCCCTCGTCAAGGACAATAATGTAGTATATTATGAACAGCAGCTGGCCTAAAAATGGTCCACACGGAACGCCACTTTTGACTAATCTCCACTCAGATTTCACCCCATTTATGGGGACGCAGATTTCACCCCATTTATAGAAAATCTGCTTTCTGTTGGTCAGCTATGCCTCCATAAACCCTTACAACATAGTATTCTTAATTATGACCAACTACTCCAACTGTTTACTGAAGAAAGTGGTTGTTAGGTAAGACACATACCATTTTAATATTCACTGAAGGAGGTAAATTAGGCTGGAACGGCACCTTGTGAATCCACGCTGAGCGTGGTGAATCAAATTACGCGTATTAAGATGACTTATTATAACAGCTATAATTGGCTTTAATGTGTATAGAACTTAGATCAGGTTTATTATGTTTTATGAATATGTTATAACACAAGCAAGTAGGTAAATAAGACAGGTGTGCAGTTGTTGGGTAGATTTGGTAAATAGTTTAGAAATCTGACAAGTTGAAGACAGATACTTGTGCAACGTTTTGGAATCTTCTCCACACGGTGGCTTTATCAGTCTATACAAAGAAGAATGGTGGAAATAGAGGGATTTGAGGTAATCACTTCCTTATTCTCGTTTTGTTTTGGGTAATATAGGGCCGCTGTTTGTGTACACCGTACCCAGCCTTAAACCCTCATTCCTTGTCTTGTTTGTGTATTATAGGGTCACTCAGAGCTTGCACCGTACTCGGTCGTAACAACATGACTGGTGTGATGACTGGTGTTCAGTCTTAGTTACTCTCATTTGACCAGACAACAGCAAGTCAGTGAAACAACAATAACTCAATAAACATTTATCATTATTATTATTTTCCTGCTGAAGTTGTAGCAGAAGTAGCAGTAGTAGCAGAAGTAGTAGAAGACGCAGTAGTAGTGGTAGCAGAAGTAGTGGTAGCAGCAGTAGTAGTGGTAGCAGCAGTAGTAGTGGTAGCAGCAGTAGTAGTAGTGGTGGTGGTGGTAGTGGTCGTAGTGGATAGACAGAGAATAGATTGATAGCACCAGTAGTAAATGGGCCACTGAATGCTCCAGGTTGAAGCGCCAGTGGCGACAGATGCTGCCACTGGCTCCACTATGAGACGACTCTCGCTAGGGTCGTGTTCTCTGGGGTTGTCGTCGTGGGTCACTGGGACAGCCAGCACGACAACCACACACATGAGGATGAGGAAAGCACTAGTCTTCATGGTGGTGCTAGTGATGGTTGTAGCCATGGTAGTGGTCTTGGTGGAGGTCTTGGTGGTGGTTGTCGTGGTGGTTGTCGTGGTGGTTGTCGTGGTGGTTGTCGTGGTGATGTCGTCTTGAAAAAGATAAACAGTATTAAGTTACGTAGATTTTGTTTTATGTTACTACGACTGTATTGTCTGTGTTCCTGTCTACAATAAAAAAAGGGCAGTATACAAGAAGGACAAGTAGAGAGAGAGAGAGGAGGAGAGAGAGAGAGAGAGAAGAAGAGAGAGGAGGAGAGAGAAGAGAGGAGAGGAGAGGGGAGGAGAGGGGAGAGAGAGAGAGAGAGAGAAGAGGGAAGAGAGTTATAAAGATAGGGAATCGCCAAACCCGTAGGGGTAAAGAGAGTGAAATGCTTGAAGTTTTGTTTACCTGTTGAGACAGCAGAGATGCTGCTAGTAGTAGGGCAGAGATGCTGGTGGTGAGAGAGCAAAGATGCTGGTGGTGAGAGAGCAAAGATGCTTGTGGTGAGAGAGCAGAGATGCTTGTGGTGAGAGAGCAGAGATGCTGGTGGTGAGAGAGCAGAGATGCTGGTGGTGAGAGAGCAAAGATGCTGGTGGTGAGAGAGCAAAGATGCTTGTGGTGAGAGAGCAGAGATGCTGGTGGTGAGACAGCAGAGATGCTGGTGGTGAGACAGCAGAGATGCTGGTGGTATGAGAGCAAAGATGCTGGTGGTGAGAGAGCAGAGATGCTGGTGGTGAGACAGCAAAGATGCTGGTGGTGCGATTGGGTGAACAGCAGAGATGCTGGTGGTGAGAGAGCAGAGATGCTGGTGGTGAGACAGCAGAGATGCTGGTGGTGAGACAGCAGAGATGCTGGTGGTGAGACAGCAGAGATGCTGGTGGTGAGACAGCAGAGATGCTGGTGGTGAGACAGCAGAGATGCTGCTGATGGTGTTAGAAGTCAAAACACTACTGCAGCAGTGTTATACTGCAGCAGTGTTATATACCTTCCTGTCTAATATCAGCTGATAACTGAACCAACGTGTTCCATCCTCACTCAACTCACTCAACTCACTCACCCATCAATCATCCACCAAATCATCCACAATTAACTCATCCTCATATTCCAAATGTCAGACAAATGCAAAAGCTTAAAACAAATTGATGGTGGCTGACGTAAATTGATGGGATGTTTGTCAACTGGAGCGGAAGTCAGAGTTGGCAGGAACAGGACAAGTGGGAAAGCCTGTATTATGGAGATAAGTGTCATTCTTCCCTCGTCCAGCGCGTGATTACAGTCATAAGTGTCATTCTTCCCTCGTCCAGTGAAACATTTTAAATTATCATTAACCTTGGAGAAGTGTGGGATTAGTACTCACCTGGCACCGTGTTCGAACCCCGTCCGCGCCTTAGAGAATTTACAATGGTACATTCCGTATAGCTTTTCTCTCTCTATGACTGTCTGTGGCTTTGTGACTGTCTGGTTTTTGCTGTGCGGGCCTGTCTGTGGGCCTATCTGTAACTGTATGTGGCTGTTTGTGACTATCCCTGGCTATCTGTGACTATTTTTGACTATCTGATAATATTCTAGGTGTGTTAGTACTGCCACTAGTCATTACTATCTCTGGTATATAAAGACCGAGGAAGGATATCTGAAGGATGCTGGCTGGGGTCAACGTCCCCGCGTCCCAGTCCCAGAGCAGGTCCAGAACTAGGTCCAGGACTAGGACCAGGTCCAGTGCCAGGGCCAGGTTCAGGTCCAGGACCAGAACCAGGTTCAGGGCTAGAACCAGGTCCAGGACTGGGTCCAGCACCAGGTCCAGAACCAGGTCTAAGACCGGCTCCAGGGCTAGGCCCAGAACCAGGTCCAGGACAAGTACCAGAACCAGGTCCAGAGCCAGGTCCAGAGCCAGGTTCAGAACCAGTACCAGAACCAGGTCCAGAGCCAGGTCCAGAGCCAGGTCCAGGACCAGTACCAGAACCAGGTCCAGAGCCAAGTCCAGAGCCAGGTCCAGAACCAGAACCAGAACCAAAATCAGGTCCAGAGCAAGGTCCAGAACCGGGTCCAGGACTAGGCCTCCTGGTGGATCTAGGCCGGAAAAACCCACACTTTTTATTTATTTAGCACAAGACAATAATATTTGTTAATGATTTTGAGGGGTAGTAAAGTTCAATGTATAAAGGGCAGGTCCAGTTCCTTGGATCACGAGCCCCCACAGAAGACAAGCAACTTTTCTTGAGGGATAGGGAAGGAAAGATCACACATCAACTGGTTTTTCTGTTCCAGCATCTAAGTGTTGCGGTTCAGAGAGGTAACGCCCTTTATATCAAACATTTCACATAACTCTGAATTAGGTCAACTAGGGTCAGAGGTCACATAGTATCTGGGGGATACATTAAAAATATGCGGACTGACCAACATAGTTGTTCATATGACATCCAGGATATAGCATGAACATGAGGTCATCCCAGGGGTCAAAGGTCACATAAGGTAATGAAAAAATACCGAGGAACGCTGGAGAATTTATTCTATCACATGTATACAATATTATTGGTGTTCTTCTTGTTTGGGAAGTATAGGGCCACTGACAGTGTACACCGTATTAAGTCCTTTATTCCCAGTTTTTCGTTTTGTTTGGGAAATATAGGGCCACTGAGAGTGTATACCGTATCAAGTCCTTTATTCCCAGTTTTTCGTTTTGTTTGGGAAATATAGGGCTGCTTACAGTTTGCGCCGTATCTAGCCCTGGCAACATTACAGGGTCTTGCCTTGGTTATTCACTCACCTGACAAGACAACAGTGAGTCAGTAGTGACTCGGCTTGGCAGTGAAGCAACACTTACCGACTTTACATTGAATGTAACCATTACTTCCCAAAAGAAGGTTTAACAGTGGTTCTAAAACAAAGGAAAGCTACAGGGCACCAGGTAGTGGGCACGGCTGGGGCAGCAGTAGTACTGATATACGCTGGCCAGAGTAAACGACCGGCTCTTGTAAGGTCGTTCTGGGGAACCGGGGCTGTGGAGACGACCGTCAGCACACAGAGTAGGACGACGCAGCTGGCTCTCATGGTGCTAGTAATAGTGGTAGTAGCGAGAGTGCTAGTAGTGGTGGTAGTGGGGGGTAGTAGGGCATCAAATATCATCTGAGAAAGATGAATAATAATAGATTTAGTACAAAAAATTTTGTGTGACAACAGTATCGTGAGAGCTGACGACTCACCCTGTGTACCTCCCACTCGTAAGCTATCTATGTAGATATATTAAAAGGTCTCTCTCTCTCTCTCTCTCTCTCTCTCTCTCTCTCTCTCTCTCTCTCTCTCTCTCTCTCTCTCTCTCTCTTCTCTCTTCTCTCTCTCTCTCTCCTCTCTCTCTCTCTCTCTCTATCTATCTATCTCCTTCTGCTTGTCAAAGTAACAGTGGTAGTGTACAAGACAAGTACTGTGTTGTTCATGAACAGGTTACCAGTTTACTGTTGCTTATTCTATGTACCCTAAGTTACTGAGTGCTTCAGTAATTATGATTCTCTCTGAGTTTACCTGGTGAAGCAGCAGTGACGCTGATAGTGAAGCAGTGGTGATGCTGATGGTGGTAGTTAGACAGCAATGACGCTGGTGGTAATGGTAGTTAGACAGTAGACAGTCACCTGGAAAAGGACTACAGCCCAGCTGAGTTATATACTTGGCAGTATAACACTGTATGGACCAAACTGACAGTGTATACTTGATCCCTGTCACACACACACACACACACACACACACACACACACACACACACACACACACACACACACACACACACACCACCACCACCACCACCACCACTATTACTAAATCACAATAAACAGCTCCTTGACACACATAGTGGACTGAGGTCAGTAGAGATTGACAATGATAGTGTTCGGCTGTGGGTCCAAACAGAAGCCAGTGTCAGGTGAGGGGACTGAGACACAAGGAGGGGAAAGCTTTAAAAATATAATTTTTTCAATTAACTAGAGAGAGAGTACCAGGAATGTGTCCTGGTTCTTCAGCAGTAGGTAACCAGTAGGTTCCTGAGGCCGGGAGTACTATCAACCCTGTGCTGGGGTACAGTAATTAGGTATCCTAGTGGTGGGGTACAGTAACTAGGTATCTCAGTGCTGGGGTACAGTAACTAGGTATCCTAGTGGTGGGGTACAGTAACTAGGTATCCTAGTGGTGGTGTTCAGTAATTAGGTATCTCAGTGCTGGGGTGCAGTAATTAGGTATCTCAGTGCTGGGGTACAGTAACTAGGTATCTTAGTGCTGATGTTCAGTAATTAGGTATCTCAGTGCTGGGGTGCAGTAATTAGGTATCTCAGTGCTGGGGTATAGTAACTAGGTATCTCTTCTCTAGATTCGCTCTCTGGTCAATTTACTTAAGGGTATAACCAAGTCCAGTCGTAAGATATAAGTCGTAAGACATAAGTCGTAAGACAAGTCGTAAGACGTAAGTCGTAAGACATAAGTCGTAAGACAAGTCGTAAGACATAAGTCGTAAGACATAAGTCGTAAGACATAAGGTGATGAAGAGACATGTAAAAAGATGGTTGGATAATTTATTGTAAGTCTGTGAAACATTGCAGGTTCAACATTGCAGGTTCAACACTACAGGTTCAACATTGCAGGTTCAACACTACAGGTTCAACATTGCAGGTTCAACATTGCAGGTTCAACACTACAGGTTCAACATTGCAGGTTCAACACTACAGGTTCAACACTACAGGTTCAACATTGCAGGTTCAACACTACAGGTTCAACATTGCAGGTTCAACACTACAGGTTCAACACTACAGGTTCAACATTGCAGGTTCAACATTGCAGGTTCAACACTACAGGTTCAACATTGCAGGTTCAACATTGCAGGTTCAACATTGCAGGGTCAACATTGCAGGTTCAACACTACAGGTTCAACACTACAGGTTCAACACTACAGGTTCAACATTGCAGGTTCAACATTGCAGGTTCAACACTACAGGTTCAACACTACAGGTTCAACATTGCAGGTTCAACATTGCAGGTTCAACATTGCAGGGTCAACATTGCAGGTTCAACAATCCAGGTTCAACATTGCAGGTTCAACATTGCAGGTTCAACATTGCAGGTTCAACACTACAGGTTCAACATTGCAGGTTCAACACTACAGGTTCAACATTGCAGGTTCAACAGAGTGAACATTGCACTGCTGTTGCAAGAGCAGTGAACTGTTCACCCTATCGAAAATCAAGGGTGAAATTAGTCAGAAGAGCAATGACTCAGCAGTGACAGAGGCTAATGACTCAGCAGTGACAGAGGCTAATGACTCAGCAGTGACAGAGGCTAATGACTCAGCAGTGACAGAGGCTAATGACTCAACAGTGACAGAGGCTACTGACTCAGCAGTGACAGAGGCTAATGACTCAGCAGTGACAGAGGCTACTGGCTCAGCAGTGACAGAGGCTACTGACTCAACAGTGACAGAGGCTAATGACTCAGCAGTGACAGAGGCTACTGACTCAGCAGTGACAGAGGCTACTGATTCAGCAGTGACAGGTTACTGAAGCAACAATGACTCAGCAGTGACTCGGTCTATCTTCCTGCCTTCGGTGTAGCAGTGGTCGCTATACACAGGAAGGTGTAGTAGCAAACTACTTTCTTGGGTATCTGTGACGTTCCTGGAGAGTCGTTATTGATGATAATTCTAGGCAAGATCAGACCACGACCACCGTGTATGTGGTCGTGCTGGGGCAGTGACATGGTGGTAGCAACGACCACACACACCAGGAGGGCGGCCCTGGTCGTCCTCATGGTGACGAGGATAGTGTCCGGCAGGATGGGTGGTGTGTCTGTGTGGAGAGTCCTGGACGCAGGATCGAGTCCTCACCCTTCCTTGCCCTGGAAGACTAGGCTTGTGCTGGTGGTAGTACTAGTAGTAGTGGTAGTAGTAGTAGTAGTAGTAGTAGTAGTAGTAGTGGTGGTGGTATTAAGCTGGCATCATCTGGGAAGGAAAAACACAATCATTTTTTTGGAGTAAAATTCTGTGTACAAATGACACATAAGGACAATACCGATATCTAATTTTTCTGTCTCTCTTATCTACCTTTATTTACTTACTTTTGATCATTTCTTTCTCTCTGAGCTTTGTCAGGATAATTCTGCTTCTACCCTGACGCATGTTAACACATTAGAGTTGTTAAAATCAACACAACACAAGATGAACCAATGTGTTGAAGACAGAGCAACGCTCGGGAAGAAGAAATTCATCGAGGTGGATCATCAACATCCTGTGATGCGGCTTCAGGGACTCATCACCACAAGTGTGTGTGAACCCTTGGAATCATCAGTGAACAAGGTTTGAAGGAGTACAACTACAGACAACGTCAGATATGTGAAATGAGAGAGATGTACTCCACGCTGCCTCGGTGACCACAATACTAACAGTGCACCAGAAGAAACTAAACAATGGGACTCAGGATCCACGAACAGTAAGCCTACACACCCCAAACAATAGGCCTTTAGACCCCAAACAGTAGGCCTGCAGATCTAAAACAGCAGGCCTGCAGATCTAAAACAGTAAGCCTGCAGATCCCATACAGTAGGCTGCAGTGCAGATATAAGAAAACCAGATATCTAAAGAATATAACAGAACTATAGGTGTAAATATGGCTGCACATTATGACTTACAACACATCCAGTTATGGTCTGAGACAATCCTACATATTGTTCACATTTTACAAAGGAACATAATTTAGCACGTGAGTTAATTGAGCAAATTATCAAGTGAGCGCGTGCACTAATCTGACTGAATCAGAGGTGTGGGTCAAGATAGTGTTATTTATAGCTCACCTGGCAAAATTAATTACCAAGGACAACAGGTAACACTGTAACAGGGGAAATTTTGCGATGTTTAGGTTAATATTCTTGTTACTACTGTGCTTACCTGCTGAGACAGCAGAGATGCTGGTGATGCTGGTGGTGAGAGAGCAGAGATGCTGGTGATGCTGGTGGTGAGAGAGCAGAGATGCTGGTGATGCTGGTGGTGAGAGAGCAGAGATGCTGGTGATGCTGGTGGTGAGAAAGCAGAGATGCTGGTGATGCTGGTGGTGAGAGAACAGAGATGCTGGTTGTGCAGGTGGTGAGAGAGCAGAGATGCTGGTGATGCTGGTGGTGAGAGAACAGAGATGCTGGTGATGCTGGTGGTGAGAGAACAGAGATGCTGGTTGTGCAGGTGGTGAGAGAGCAGAGATGCTGGTGATGCAAGTGGTGAGAAAGCAGAGATGCTGGTGATACAGGTGGTGAGAGAGCAGAGATACTGGTGAAGCTGGTGGTGAGAGAACAGAGATGCTGGTGATGCTGGTGGTGGGAGAGCAGAGATGCTGGTGATGCAGGTGGTGAGAGAGCAGTGATGCTGGTGATGCTGGTGGTGAGAGAGCAGAGATGCTGGTTGTGCAGGTGGTGAGAGAGTAGAGATGCTGGTGATGCTGGTGGTGAGAGAACAGAGATGCTGGTGATGCAGGTGGTGAGAGAGCAGAGATACTGGTGATGCTGGTGGTGAGAGAGCCGAGATGCTGGTGGTGAGAGAGCAGAGATGCTGATGGTGCAGGTGGTGAGAGAGCAGAGATGCTGATGGTGCAGGTGGTGAGAGAGCAGAGATGCTGGTGGTGAGAGAGCAGAGATGCTGATGGTGCAGGTGGTGAGAGAGCAGAGATGCTGATGGTGCAGGTGGTGAGAGAGCAGAGATGCTGGTGATGTTGCTGGTGTTAGATCAGTTAAGACACTGCTACAGCAGTGTTATACTGCAACAGTGTTATATAGCTTCCTGTCTGATATTACATGCATCAGCTGATGACTGACCCAACGTGTTCCATCCTTCACCTCACTCATCTCACTCAACTCACTCACCCATCTAATATCCACTAAAATATCCGTCAATAACTCATTCTCATCCTTCAACTGTTAGACAGTTGTAACAACTTACTACAGATTGGTGACGGTTGAGATAAATTGATGGAATGTTTGTAGACTGAAGTAAAAGTCAAAATCAGTTGAAAGGGTTGAGACAAGAGGGGAAGGTCTGCATTTTGACATGTGTAAATTGTGTGTGTGTGTGTGTGTGTGTGTGTGTGTGTGTGTGTGTGTGACCAAAAGGACATATAAATATAATATCCAAAAAAAAAAAAAAAAATCTTTCCCTCATCTCAATCCCATTACCTGACCCAGACTTCGTCTCCCATCTCCAAAAGGAAGCGACATTCCAAGGCAACAAATTACAATCTCCTACGATCACGAACATTTGTAATGCATCTCTTTGATAAACATGAGATGACCAGTGAAAGTGAATTAGATGTGAGTGAGAGATGGATGACATTACTCAAGTCACTCATCATGTGATATATATATAATGCTGGTCTGGAAGGTATTTATTAAGATTGGATCCTGTTCCATCTGCAGGTGCGTGTCTGCTGTCTCAGCAGCAGCATCTCTGCTCTGTCAGAGGTATCATCCCTGCTGTCAGAGGCATCATCTCTGCTCTGTCAGAGGCATCATCTCTGCTCTGTCAGAGGCATCATCTCTGCTCTGTCAGAGGCAACATCTCTGCTCTCTCAGAAGCATCATCTTTGCTGCGTCACCAGCAGCATCTCTACTCTACCAGAAGCAGCATCTCTACTGTCTCACCAGCGGCATTTCTGCTTTCTCAGCAACAGCATCTCTGCTCTCTCACCACCAGCATCACTTCTCTCCCACCACCAGCATCACTTCTCTCCCACCACCAGCATCACTTCCCTCCCACCACCAGCATCACTTCTCTCCCAACACCAGCATCACTTCTCTCCCACCACCAGCATCACTGCTCTCTCAGCAGGTAACTCCAACAGAAACAGTCCCCTGGATCAACTCACAGTGTTTACGTCTATCAGAATTCTTTATTAAATGTTGCATTTATGTTGATTTGATCAGATGTTTATGTCTAGCTAAACATTGATCTGTATAAAGGTAAGAATCTATAGTGATCTTCTGTTAATTTACATATCTGAGGCAGAGGAACATACAGGCTTTAAACTACAGGAGACTGTAGAAGACTGGTCAGATAAATGTTAGGTGATCAGTCCCTCAGTCTTGATAGTAGGTGATCAGTCCCTCAGTTTTCATAGGAAATGATCAGTCTGTAGGAGGATACAGACAATCTTGTAACTAGGCTGAAGGACTGACCACCTTCTATCAGTGCTGAGGGACTGACCACCTTCTATCAGTGCTGAGGGACTGACCACCTTCTATCAGTGCTGAGGGACTGACCACCTTCTATCAGTGCTGAGGGACTGACCACCTTGTATCAGTGCTTAGGGACTGACCACCTTCTATCATTGCTGAGGGACTGATACCCTTCTATCAGTGCTGAGGGACTTACCACCTTCTATCAGTGCTGAGGGACTGACCACCTTCTATCAGTGCTGAGGGACTGACCACCTTGTATCAGTGCTGAGGGACTGACCACCTTCTATCAGTGCTGAGGGACTGACCACCTTCTATCAGTGCTGAGGGACTGACCACCTTCTATCAGTGCTGAGGGACTGACCACCTTCTATCAGTGCTGAGGGACTGACCACCTTCTATCAGTGCTGAGAGACTGACCACCTTCTATCAGTGCTGAGGGACTGACCACCTTCTGGCAGTGCTTAGGGACTGACCACCTTCTATCAGTGCTGAGGGACTTACCACCTTCTATCAGTGCTGAGGGACTGACCACCTTGTATCAGTGCTGAGGGACTGACCACCTTCTATCAGTGCTGAGGGACTGACCACCTTCTATCAGTGCTGAGGGACTGACCACCTTCTGGCAGTGCTAAGGGACTGATCCGCTTCTTCCAACACAGTGATGTGTATAGGAAAACAGAGAAGTTGGTAGGGACATAGAAATGCTATAACGACAAACATTCTCTAAGATTCTCTGTGTATCTTCTTACCAGACGATACCACCTGCACTACCACCATCCCTACTACCACGACTACCAGCACCATGAAGGCTACCAGCGTCTCCCTGCTGCTATGTGTGGTGGTCGTCGTTGTCTCAGTCCCCCAGAACGACCTCGTAAATGACAGTCATCTACGGATCTTTCCTTCATTTAGTGTCAACATCCCAACAGTGACCAGTCAGGTGCCTGGGATCTTCCTGTGTACCTCAAATATCCTGTGTCTGGCGACCACTGCCGCTCCAGCGTCGGGAAAATGAGCCTTCGCTACCCTAGTTATGTCACTGTTGCTGCACTGTTGTCACTGTTGCTGCACTGTCAGCTAGTGCTGGAGCACTGTTGTCAGGCACTGTTGTTAGTGAAGGTGGCAGTGCACCTGCAATCTTGTGCACACTTGTTGAGATATATTAAAATAAATATCTGCCTGTGTGTTTCTTCTTGACCTGGTGTGACATATGACCTGGTGTGACCTTTGACCTGCTGTGACCTTTGACCTAGTGTGACCTTTGACCTGGTGTGATATTTGACCTGGTGTGATCTTTGACCTGGTGTGACCTTTGACCTGGTGTGAACTTTGACCTGGTGTGACATTTGACCTGGTGTGATCTTTGACCTGGTGTGACCTTTGACCTGGTGTGACCTTTGACCTGGTGTGACCTTTGACCTGCTGTGACCTTTGACCTGATGTGACCTTTGATCTGGTGTGACTTTTGACCTGGTGTGACCTTTGACCTGGTGTGACCTTTGACCTGGTGTGACCTTTGACCTGGTGTGACCTTTGACCTGGTGTGACCTTTGACCTGGTGTGACCTTTGACCTGGTGTGATCTTTGACCTGGTGTGACCTTTGACCTGGTGTGATCTTTGACCTGATGTGACCTTTGATCTGGTGTGACCTTTGACCTGGTGTGACCTTTGACCTGGTGTGACTTTTGACCTGGTGTGACCTTTGACCTGGTGTGACCTTTGACCTGGTGTGACCTTTGACCTAGTGTGACCTTTGACCTGGTGTGACCTTTGACCTGGTGTGACCTTTGACCTGGTGTAATCTTTGACCTGGTGTGACCTTTAACCTGGTGTGATCTTTGACCTGGTGTGACCTTTGACCTGGTGTGACCTTTGACCTGGTGTGACCTTTGACCTGGTGTAATCTTTGACCTGGTGTGACCTTTGACCTGGTGTGACCTTTGACCTGGTGTGACCTTTGACCTGGTGTAATCTTTGACCTGGTGTGACCTTTAACCTGGTGTGATCTTTGACCTGGTGTGACCTTTGATCTGATATGACCCTTGACCTGATGTGACCTTTGACCTGGTGTGACCTTTGACCTGTTGTGACCTTTTGACTTTATGTCACATTTGACCTGGTGTGACCTTTGACATGGTGTGATTTTTTACCTGGTGTGACCTTTGACTTGGTGTGACCTTTGATCTGGTGTGACCTTTGACCTGGCCTGCAACACTGCTGGTTCAGTGCAAAAGACTCAGGCCAGGATTGTACCACACCTTAGTACCAGGACTGTACCACACCTTAGTACCAGGATTGTACCACACCTTAGTACCAGGATTGTACCACACCTTAGTACCAGGATTGTACCACACCTTAGTACCAGGATTGTACCACACCTTAGTATCAGGACTGTTCCATACCTTATTACCAAGACTGTACCACACCTTAGTACCAGGACTGTACCACACCTTAGTACCAGGACTGTACCACACCTTAGTACCAGCACTGTACCACACCTCAGTACCAGGATTGTACCACACCTCAGTACCAGGATTGTACCACACCTCAGTACCAGGATTGTACCACACTTCGGGACTAGGAATGTATCACACCTCAGTACCAGGATTGTACCACACTTCGGGACTAGGAATGTACTACACCTCAGTACCAGGCTTGTACCACACCTCAGTACCAGGATCGTAAACACCTCAGTACCAGGCTTGTACCACACCTCAGTACCAGGCTTGTACCACACCTCAGTACCAGGATTGTACCACACCTCAGTACTAGGACTGTATCATTCCTCAGTACAAGGGTTGTACCACACCTCAGTACCAGGGTTGTACCACACCTCAGTACTAGGGTTGTACCATACCTCAGTACCAGGGTTATACCACACCTCAGTACTAGGGTTGTACCATACCTCAGTACCAGGATTGTGCCACACCTCAGTACTAGGACTGTACCATTCCTCAGTACCAGGGTTGTACCACACCTCAGTACCAGGGTTGTACCACACCTCAGTACCAGGATTGTAACACACCTCAGTACTAGGACTGTACCATTCATCAGTACCAGGGTTGTACCACACCTCAGTACTAGGACTGTACCATTCCTCAGTACCAGGGTTGTACCACACCTCAGTACTAGGGTTGTACCATACCTCAGTACCAGGATTGTAACACACCTCAGTACTAGGACTGTACCTTTCCTCAGTACCAGGGTTGTACCACACCTCAGTACCAGGGTTGTACCACACCTCAGTACCATGGTTGTACAACACCTCAGTACCAGGACTATACCACACTTCAGTACCAGGACTGTACCACATCTCAGTACCAGGATTATACCACACCTCAGTACCAGGATTGTACCACACCTCAGTACCAGGATTGTACCACACCTCAGTACCAGGACTGTATCACACTTTAGTAACAGGATTGTACCAAGATTGTACCACACCTCAGTACTAGGACTGTACCTTTCCTCAGTACCAGGGTTGTACCACACCTCAGTACCAGGGTTGTACCACACCTCAGTACCATGGTTGTACCACACCTTAGTACCAGGACTATACCACACTTCAGTACCAAGACTGTACCACACCTCAGTACCAGGATTGTACCACACCTCAGTACCAGGATTGTACCACACCTCAGTACCAGGACTGTATCACACTTTAGAAACAGGATTGTACCACACCTTAGTACCAGGATTGTACCATTACTCAGTACCAGGATTGTACCACACCTTAGTACCAGAACTGTACCACTCCTCAGTACCAGGATTGTACAACACGTCAGTACCAAGACTGTACCACACCTCAGTACCAGGATTGTACCACACTTCATTCCCATTACTGTACCACACCTCAGTACCAGGATTGTACCACACCTCATATGTGGCATTTTGCCAAGGAGAGAAGTTGGAAATGAATGGTTGTCCAGAGCAATTGGTGTCAATTGCTGGCTGGACAAATACTGTGAGGGGTAGCTTTAAGAAGAGACTGGACAAATATATGAGTGGGAGGGGCTGGGTTTGATTGGTGTCGTGGGGTACGGGAGTTATTTCTTTGGGTCGTTTTGATAAGGACCTGCCTCGTATGGGCCAGTAGGCCTTCTGCAGTGTTCCTACATTCTTATGTTCTCAGTACCAGGACTGGACCACACCTCAGTACCAGGATTGTACCACACCTCAGTACCAGGATTGTACCACACCTCAGTACCAGGATTGTACCAGACCTCAGTACCAGGATTGTACCACACTTCAGTACCAGGATTGTACCACACCTTAGTACCATGATTGTACTACACCTCAGTACCAGGATTGTACCAGACCTCAGTACCAGGATTGTACCACACCTTAGTACCATGATTGTACTACACCTCAGTACCAGGATTGTACCAGACCTCAGTACCAGGATTGTACCACACCTTAGTACCATGATTGTACTACACCTCAGTACCAGGATTGTACCAGACCTCAGTACCAAGATTGTACCAGACCTCAGTACCAGGATTGTACCACACCTCAGTACCAGGATTGTACCAGACCTCAGCACCAGGATTGTACCACACTTCAGTACCAGGATTGTACCACACCTCAGTACCAGGATTGTACCAGACCTCAGCACCAGGATTGTACCACACCTCAGTACCAGGATTGTACCAGACCTCAGCACCAGGATTGTACCACACCTCAGTACCATGATTGTACCACACCTCTGTACCAGGATTGTACCAGACCTCAGTACCAGGATTGTACCAGACCTCAGTACCATGATTGTACCACACCTCAGTACCAGGATTGTACCACACCTCAGTACCAGGATTGTACCAGACCTCAGCACCAGGATTGTACCACACCTTAGTACCATGATTGTACTACACCTCAGTACCAGGATTGTACCAGACCTCAGTACCAAGATTGTACCAGACCTCAGTACCAGGATTGTACCACACCTCAGTACCAGGATTGTACCACACCTCAGTACCAGGATTGTACCAGACCTCAGCACCAGGATTGTACCACACCTTAGTACCATGATTGTACTACACCTCAGTACCAGGATTGTACCAGACCTCAGTACCAAGATTGTACCACACTTCAGTACCAGGATTGTACCACACCTCAGTACCAGGATTGTACCAGACCTCAGCACCAGGATTGTACCACACTTCAGTACCAGGATTGTACCACACCTCAGTACCAGGATTGTACCAGACCTCAGCACCAGGATTGTACCACACTTCAGTACCAGGATTGTACCACATACATGTTGGAGTGTCATGTAGACTATTACCAACATGGGGTAACTGAAGAATAATACACACGTGTCAGTGGTCAATAACCAACATGGAGACAGACACAGAAAAATTAAATTACCTTTATATTTCGACCTCCTTCTGGGGTCCTCTTCAGTAGATCTTTATTATCTTAAATTGTCTCTCTCGATTTCAGCTTTACTGTTTCCCAGTTCGATCCCTCGTGTGTGTTTCATGTCTTAGCGAAAGTCTTATTGAATATTTGTCTAATTTTAAGCTTTGTAATATTCCTTTGCATTTAGAGGAAGAATTTTGTTAGTCGAGTGTTGTGGGTAATGGGAGTTATCTCTAAGGCTGAAGAAATACTTCCTAACATCTCTGTGACTCATCTGAGTCTTTAACTTCCACCTGTGCCCCTTTGTTGCTGTGTCACATCTCTGGAACATCCTGTCTCTGTCCAGTTTGTGTATGTGCGTGTGTGTGTACTAACCTATTTGTGATTTCAGGGATCGAGTCGCAGCTCCTGGCCCCTATTGTTTGTGTGTGTGTGATAGGATGTGCTTCAGGTCATCTGGAGGTCAAAGGTCAGACGAGGCAATGAATAAACTTGCTTCAGTAGAATGAATAATATATTCAGACAAGTGTACATAACATGTGTGTTGGGTTGTTCACTGACTCACTGACAACCAGCAGTGAGTCAGTAGTAACTCAGAATAACAGTGAAGTTACACTGACTCACTGAACAACCAGCAGTGAGTCAGTATAGTAACTCAGAATAAGAGTGAAGTTACACTGACTCACTGACAACCAGCAGTGAGTCAGTAGTAACTCAGAATATCAGTGAAGTTACACTGACTCACTGACAACCAGCAGTGAGTCAGTAGTAACTCAGAATAACAGTGAAGTTACACTGACTCACTGACAACCAGCAGTGAGTCAGTAGTAACTCAGAATAACAGTGAAGTTACACTGACTCACTGACAACCAGCAGTGAGTCAGTAGTAACTCAGAATAACAGTGAAGTTACACTGACTCACTGACAACCAGCAGTGAGTCAGTAGTAACTCAGAATAACAGTGAAGTTTACACTGACTCACTGACAACCAGCAGTGAGTCAGTAGTAACTCAGAATAACAGTGAAGTTACACTGACTCACTGACAAGCAGCAGTGAGTCAGTGTACTAATGTATCCAACTTTTAAGAGTTGGATATGTTAGTAGTGTCCTTTATAATGCTGTCATCTTCTGAGTGACAAATTGTGTCCTGCTGTCATATTCCATCACACAGGATGGTTACACTGTCATATTCCATCACACAGGATGGTTACACTGTCATATTCTATCACACAGGATGGTTACACTGTCATATTCCATCACACAGGATGGTTACACTGTCATATTCCATCACACAGGATGGTTACACTGTCATATTCCATCACACAGGATGGTTACACTGTCATATTCTATCACACAGGATGGTTACACTGTCATATTCCATCACACAGGATGGTTACACTGTCATATTCCATCACACAGGATGGTTACACTGTCACATTCCATCGCACAGGATGGTTACACTGTCATATTCCATCACACAGGATGGTTAAACTGTCATATTCCATCACACAGGATGGTTCCTTGTCATATTCCATCACATAGGATGGTTACACTGTCATATTCCATCACACAGGATGGTTCCTTGTCATATTCCATCACACAGGATGGTTACACTGTCATATTCCATCACACAGGATGGTTCCTTGTCATATTCCATCACACAGGATGGTTCCTTGTCATATTCCATCACACAGGATGGTTACACTGTCATATTCCATCACACAGGATGGTTCCTTGTCATATTCCATCACACAGGATGGTTCCTTGTCATATTCCATCACACAGGATGGTTCCTTGTCATATTCCATCACACAGGATGGTTACACTGTCATATTCCATCACACAGGATGGTTCCTTGTCATATTCCATCACACAGGATGGTTACACTGTCATATTCCATCACACAGGATGGTTACACTGTCATATTCCATCACACAGGAAACAAAGCTGGTTCGGTGCCTTCAGTCTATCCTCACGGGAAAGGATTCTAAGACATAGCGCTGGAAATATACAGAAAATGACAAAGTTGATCCCATATTGTCAGAAATCTTTCCTACGAAGATAAGCTGAAGGCTCTGGTATTACATTCTCTGGAAAGACCCAGAATTAAGATATGATTAAACTGTACAAGTGTAAAACAGGAAAAAATATTGGGGGTATAAATAACTTGTCGAAAATGACTAACGTAGTCAGGACTCGTAGCTGTGGGTGAAGTTGGGTAGTATTAGATTTAGACAGGATATAGGGAAGCAGTGGTTTGGCAGTAGAGTTGTGGATGAGTGGATGGGTGCATGAATGGGTGTGAGTTAGGCCGCCTACCTTGCATGGGCCAATAGGCCTACTGTGGTTCTCCTTCATTCTTTCATATTTGGGAAGTGTGTCAGCCTGAGTTGGGAGACTTCAGTAGTGTCAGCCTGAGTTGGGAGACTTCAGTAGTGTCAGCCTGAGTTGGGAGACTTCAGTAGTGTCAGCCTGTGTTGGGAGACTTCAGTAGAGCATCGAGGACATCGTTTGGCACTCTGACTCACCCTTGACTCATCTACGAGAGAGCTAACTCACTACCCAGTGGCAGTAGTGGACAGGCAGATTATGGTAGTGGAGCACAATGTTATGGGAGGCCATGGTAGGTTCCAGTTGAGTATGTTATTAAGCAAACTGGTGGGTATGGGAGGCCATGGTAGGCTCCAGTTGGGTATGTTTGCAACCATACTGGTGGGCAGGGGTAGTACCAGAATACGACCCTGGTTGGGGTTGTCGTCCTGGGGGACTGGGGCAGCGATGACGACGACCAGACACAGCAGAAGGACGACCCAGGTGGTGGTCATCATCGTGGTGGTGTGGTTGGTGTCGACTGGGAAGGATATACAACCATATACTTACAATATAAAGGTATTTGATATTAGTGATGGTATATAGTATATGTACAAGGTAGGTAGTGTTTGTAGCAGTGACTCTAGTGACGTACAAGCCAGGTAGTGTTTATAACAGTGACTGTGGTAGTGTACAAGCCAACAGGGAACACTTCCAGCAGACACTGGAGTGTTTAGAACAAGTTATCAGGCTTGTAACTGCTTCTTGTAAGTTACTGAGTGTTTGTGCTTGTATGAGTGACTGTGTTGGTTACTGCTGAACTTACCTGCTGAGAGAGCAGAGATGCTGCTTTTGAGACAGCAGAGATGCTGATGCTGAGAAAGCAGAGATGCTGGTGGTGAAGAGAGAGTAGAGATGCTGCTGGTGCTGAGAGAGCAGAGATGGTGATGTTGGTGAGAGAGCAGAGATGCTGGTGGTGGTGAGAGAGCAGAGATGCTGCTGGTGCTGAGAGAGCAGAGATGGTGATGTTGGTGAGAGAGGAGAGATGCTGGTGGTGGTGAGAGAGCAGAGATGCTGCTGGTGATGAGAGAGCAGAGATGGTGGTGTTGGTGAGAGAACAGAGATGCTGCTGGTGCTGAGAGAGCAGAGATGCTGCTGGTGGTGAGAGAGCAGAGATGCTGGTGGTGTTAGATCAGTCAAGACACTGCTACAGCAGTGTTATACTGTAGCAGTATTATATAGCATCCTGTCTAATATTTTATGTATCAGCTGATGACTGAACCAACGTGTTCCATCCTCTACCTCACTCAACTCACTCACCCATCAATCATCAACTAAAACATCCACAATTAATTCATCCTCTTCCATCGGCTGTTAGACATATGCATCAACTAGTTATAGATTGAGGACAGGTTGACGTAAACTGACTGAATGTTTTTGTCAACTGAAGCAGAAGTCAGAGTCAGTTGACAGGGTTGAGACAGGCTGTTAGAAAGCGCTTTAATGAGGTCCCTAAGTGTCATTTTTTCCGTAATTAGGAAGAGATTATGACCCTTTTGGGGATCACAGGGATATGGAACTGCGCCTTAATGCCGGCGAAGGGCTCTTGATCCCAGGGATCTGGAGTTGCTCCTCTTCCTCGAGTAACCTATGGATTGTCTCTCAGGCAGTGTGTGACTCGTGCGAGCTTAGCGCTTTCCATTGACGTCAGAGTACAAAATGTACGGAGAACTTTTTATGTATCCGGTCTTGCGGAGTATACGGGATTACATAGGAGTGCAGGAGAGTACATGGGAGTACAGGAGAGTACATGGGAGCACAGAAGAGTACATGGGAGTACAGGAGAGTACATGGGAGTACAGGAGAGTACATGGGAGCACAGGAGAGTACATGGGAGTACAGGAGAGTACATGGGAGCACAGGAGAGTACATGGGAGCACAGGAGAGTACATGGGAGTACAGGAGAGTACATGGGAGTACAGGAGAGTACATGGGAGTACAGGAGAGTACATGGGAGCACAGGAGAGTACATGGGAGTACAGGAGAGTACATGGGAGTACAGGAGAGTACTTTGGGAAAGTAAAAAGGGAATTTCAGGGTACATGGAAGTACATGAGAGAAAGGGAGGGGGTCCCATGAAAATAAAAGGGGAGACAGGGAGTATATGGAGTACATGGGAGTATGTGGGGTAAAAGGGGTAAAATGGGAGTATAGGGGATTGCAGGGGAAATATCTGTGACAACTATCCATCTACTGCTACCTAATTTAAGTACATCATGTACTAGGGGGGTCGGAAAATCAAGGAAAAGTGAAGCGGAAGGCTCTCTCCCTCCCCTCCACTTCCCCTTACCATCGTAAAACCCAAGGGAAAAATTTTGCCCATAAGGAAAAAAAAAATGGGGAGGGAAATTTAGAAAAGTGATGGGGGTTAGATGGGACGAGGGCTGCAACTACCAGTATGTCTACTTCGGGGCTACTACGACTTCTCCTAGGACGTTAAAAGTTTACTTACCACTCCCCACAACAAATGTTTTGTTGATTTGGCTTGTGTTGTCAGATGATCGCCTGAGGGTGTCAGTGAACGGATCAGACATCGGGAATCGTCAACATCAGACGCCCCATTATGAGTGTATTAGCCTGAACAGTGTTTCGAGTGATTTTAGTAAAAGGGGAGTGAGGTAGCGGGGTTTTACCGGGCAACATCCGCCCCTACTCCCCCCCTACCCTTTCCCTAGCCTACAATTCATTATCCCTTATTCTAACTGTCAACCATTTAAGCTGACCCCCCAATTTTACTGATTAGTTTTTTACAAAGCATATGGGGAACCATGGGGTCTTTTTGAATTCTTTTACTTGTACAGTCCTTGTCCATTTGGGGTTCTTGAAAGACTGTTTTGGGTCTTCACATTTGGGCATCCAGTCATTTGATTTCTCTTACGCTTGGGGATTTTACAAATAAAGGGGGAAATTTTCATGCATTTATGTTGCAGCTTTGTCCCGGGGTTCTGTTCCATGCTTAAGAGTTTTTGGTGGAAAACCCTTTTAAAGGTTTGCTTTAAGTGGGTTTTTACAAAGTAAAGAAAGGGGACATGATAACAGTATATTTAAAAAGTAAAATGCTAACAGGGACATCTTAAAAAGGTTTCATCACAAATTAAAATTCCCAAAAGGTACAAACATAAAAAAGTCCACCATAACAAAGGGACATCAAAACAGGTATATCATAACATACATGATAAAAAGTCATTAAACAAATACAACATAACAGTCCATTTAAAAACAGGGGGATCACAAAAGGAAAATCACAACAGGAAAATCACAAAGGTTTTCATAGCAGGGAAAATCCAACAGGTACATAAAAACAGGGACACACAAGAGGAACAACAAAAACAGGTACATCACAACCCGGAAAAACCCCCAAAAGGTAACAAATTCACAACAGGGACATTTCCCAAAAGGTACATCCCCAATAGGTACATCCCCCAACCCCGGGAAATTCAACAGGGACATCCAATAGGTTTCCAAAACACAAAGGGACATCACAAAAGGGCATCACAACAGGTAAAAAAAACAGGAACATCAAAAACAGGTTTCAATTTACAAAAAGGTTTCAACACAAAAAGGAACATCACAACGGTACATCCCCAACAGAAAAATCACAACAGGTACTTTACAACGGTACAACACAACAGGGCATCACAACGGAACATCAAAACACTTTCATCGCAACAAGGGGAAATCACAACAGGAAACACAACAGGTACATAACAACGGAAAATCACAACATTAAAATTCAAACAGGTACATCACAAAGGAAAACACACAGGAAAACACAACAGGAAAATCACAACAGGTACATCCCACAGGAAAATCACAACAGGAAAATCACAAAAAGGGAAAATCACAACAGGAAAAATCACAAAAGGTACAATTTACAAAAAGGTACATAAAAACAGGAAAATCCAAAGGTACATCCAAAAAAGGGAAAAAAAAACAGGAACCCTCACAACAGGTACATCACAACAGGAAAATTCCAACAGGAAAAATCCAACAGGAAAATCACAAAAAGGTACATCACAACAGGAAAAATCACAACAGGAACATCACAAAAGGGACATCCCAACAGGAAAATCACAACAGGAAATTTACAAAAAGGAAAATCACAAAAAAGGGCCTACCCAAAAGGAAACAAACAGGAACTCAAACAGGAAAAAACACAACAGGTACCCCTCAAAAAAGAAAATCACAACAGGAAATCACAACAGGGAAAATTTACAAAAAGGGAAAATCACAAAAAAAAAAGGTACATCACAAAAAGGGAAAATCCAACAGGGACAAACAAACAGGAAAATAAAAACAAATACATCAAACAGGAAAAATCACAACAGGAAAATCACCAACCGGAAAATCACAACAGGAAAAATCACAACAGGTACATACAAAAAGGACCAAACACAACAGGTTTCATTTACAACAGGAAAAATCACAAAAGGAACCTCCAACAGGAAAATCACAACAGGAAAATCAAAAACAGGTACAAAAACAAAATCAGGAAAAAACAACAGGGAAAATAAAAACCCGGAAAATCACAAAGGTTCATCACAACAGGTTCATCACAACAGGTTTCATCCCAACAGGTACATCACAAAAGGAAAATCACAACCCGGAAAATTTAAACAGGAACATTTCCAAAAAGGTCCCAACACAACAGGAACTCACAAAAGAAAATTTACAACAGAAAAACACAAAAGGTACATCACAACAGGAAAATACAACAGGTACTTTACCAGGGAAAATCCCCAACAGGGAAAATCACAAAAAGGAAAAATTTACAAAAGGAAAAACACAAAAGGTACATCACAAAGGTACACACAAAAGGGACATCAAAACAGGAACCCCACAAAGAAACATCCCCAACAGAAAAATAAAAACAGGTACATCACAACAGGGGCCAAACACAACAGGTACATCCCCCAACATGTAAAATCACAAACAGGAAAATCACAACAGGAAAAAATCACAACAGGAAAAATCACAAAATAAAATCCAACCAAACAAAGGTACATCAAAAACAGGTACAAACCCCAACAGGTTTCATCACAAAAAGGAAAATCACCAAAAGGACACACAACAGGAAAAAATCACAACAGGTAAATCACAACAGGGACATCCCAAAAAGGGAAAAAATCCCCAAAAAGGAACATCACAAAGAAAATCACAAAAGGTACATCACAAAAGGTACATTTACAACAGGAAAAACCCCCAACCCCCCGGGACAATCACAAAGGAACATCACAACAGGTTTCATCACAACAGGAAAATCAAACAGGGAAAAACACAAAGGAACAACACAAAAGGAAAATCACAAAAGGTACACACAACAAGGGGGCATCAAACGGGACATCACAACAGGAAATCACAACAGGGGGCATTCCCAAAGGGAAACCCACAACAGGAAATTTCCAAAGTTCTCCCCCCAACAGGAAGTTTTTAAATTGGACTAACCCGGGACAAACAAAGTAAATAAAGGAAAATTCCCCAAAAAAGGTCTTTTTACAAAAGGAACCCAATAAATTTAAAAAAGGAATTTCACAACCGGACATTTACAAAAAATACATTTTTAAAAAATTCCCCAGCCAAAAGGGCCTCCCCTTAACGGAAAAACCCACTTTTTTCAAAAACAAAATTCCCCCAAAAAAAAACAGACATTTACAAAAAGTTCAAAAACATACCTTTTCCCCCCGGCCTTTCCCAACCGGAACTTTTCCCAGGAAAAATCCCAAATTTTCTCAACCCAAAGTAAAACGGTTTTCCCTTTAAAAAGGTAAAAAATTTTTTGTTTAATTAAAAAGGAACAAAAACAAGGTTCATCCCAGGAACATATTAAAAGGAACATAAACAGGAAAATAAACAAGGTACATTTCCAAAAGGTCAACACAAATACCCCTCTCGTTTTCCAACCAACAGATTTTTTCCAACAGGAACCCCAAAACAAAACCATCACAACAAAAACACCAGGAAAAAATTAAAAAACAGGGAACATACAACGGTAATTTTAAACCCCCCAACTCTCCAAAGGTTTTTTTTTCTTTTGGACTCCCCAAACAGGAACATAAAGGTTTTCCCCTAGAGTCAAAGTCAACATTTTTGGTTTTAAAGAGTTGGCTAAAACCCCTCTTTTATTCCCCAAGAGGGAAGATAAGGGTTTCCCCGAGTTTCACTCTTCCGCCCACAAAAAAGAGCCCTTTTCCAAAATAAGGTTTTAAAGGGGCCCTAAAAATTTTTAATAGAAGGGAAATTGGGTTTAATTGGGGGTCACTTAAATTTCCCGGAAAATGGGCACTTTAAACTACCTCTTTAAAACACTTTCTTTGCCACCTTCTTGTTCCCTTCAAATGGAACCACTTCCCGGGTTTTTTAACCCCAAATTTCCCAAAAAAAACAATCACTTTAAACATAATCAACCACAAAAACCTTTCCCTCTGGGTTTGTTTTCAACCTACTCCAAAAAATTTCTTGTTCCCAGGTTCAAAATCCCCATAATTTTTAAAAAACCCCAACCTGTATCAAACCCCGTAAACATTGTTGCTGCAAGTTTGGCTTTTAATAAAAGGGTTTTTTTGTGAACATTTTGGGTTGGTTTAAATGGGTAGTGAAAATTGGTTTTTAAATAGAGGATGGAAACACATTGGGTTGTATCCCCCTGATACCTAAGACAAAGGGTTTTTACCCCAGGTACGTAAAACACCCGGGTTTTAACAAAAAGTCCCTGAAACTATCTTTTTAAAACCAGGGAACATACCAGGCTTTTCCCTTCACCGCAAACATCCTGGTTTTTCCCCTGGCAGGTAAGTCCGGGGTAACCAAAAAGTCACCCAAACACTCCGAACCCTAAAGCCTGTAACCTTACCGGCATCCCTAATTTTTGCTCAAAACCTTATTTGGCCCTTTTATACCAAGTCACTGCCCGCAAGAAATACCTGGGGGTTTTATACCACTAGAGTCACTGCTCAAACACTACCGGCTTTTATACCCCTAAGTCCCCCGCGCAAGCCTACTGGGTTTAACCAAATAGAGTCACTGCTGCAAGCACTACCTGGCTTGTATACCCCTAGAGTCCCCTGCTGCAAGCACTACCCGGGTTTATACCACTTTGAGTCAAATGCTTCAAGCACTTTCCTGGCTTGTATACCCCTAGAGTCACTGTCAAACATACCTGGGTTTTATCCATTTGAGTCACTGCTCAAGCACTACCGGCTTGTATAAACCCCCAGATCCCCTGCGGCAAGGGACTACCCTGGCTTTTATACCCCAAGAGTCACTGCTCAAGCACTACCTGGGTTGTTACCCCTAAGTCACCCGCCCCAACACTACATGGCTTGTATACCACAAAAGCACTGCTCAAGCACTTTCCTGGGGTTGTAAACCAAATAGAGTCACTGCTGCAAGACACAAAGGCTTGATCCCCTAGGGGCACTTTTCAAACACTACCTTTGGGTTGTATACCCCTAAAGCCCTGCTCAAGCACTACCTGGCTTTTTTACCACTAGAGTCACTGGCAAGCCCCTACCGGCTTTTTTACCACTAGAGTACTTCGCAAGCCCAAAAATTTAAAACCGGCTTTTTTTACCAAAAATTAGTCATTCTCAAGCACTACCTGGCTTTGTATCCCCTAGGAGTCACTGCTTAAACACTACCCGGCTTGTTAAACCCCTAAGTCACTGCGCAAGCACTACCTGGGTTGTATACCACAAAAGTCACCCGCTACAACACAACCCCGGCTTGTTTACCACTAGGTCACTGCTGCAACAAATACCCGGGTTGTATACCCCTAGGTCCCCTGGTGCAAACATACCTGGCTTGTTACCCCTAAAAGTCACTGCCCGCAAGCACTTCCTGTCTTTTATACCCCTAGAGTCACGCTCAGCACTACCCCGGGTTGTATACCAAATAGAGTCACTGCTGCAAGCAAAAACCTGGCTTGTATAAACCCCTAGAGTCACTGGGTGCAAGCACTACCTGGCTTGTATACCACTAAATCACGCTGGCACTACCCCCCCCCCTTTTTTAACCCCCAATCACTGCTTCAACACTACCTGGCTTGTATACCACGAGGGCACTGCTCAAGCCTACCCGGTTTTTAAACCCCCAACACGGGAAAACACCAATACCCGGCTTGTTTACCACTAGAGTCACTGCCTTCAAGCACTTTCCGGGTTGTATACCACTGGTCCCTGCTAAAAACAAATACCTGGCTTGTATACCCTAGAGTCACTGGGTCAAGCACTTTCCTGGTTGTATTCCACTAGAGTTTACTGCTGCAAGCACTCCTGCTTGTATCCCCAGATTTACTGCTGCAACACTACCCCGGCTTGTTTTCCCTGATATTTTTTTTTCAATATCAAAACCAAAATTTTAAAAATACCCGGTTTTATAACCCTAACACCCAACCCCACCCCGAACCAAACCAAACCTAAACCCCCAAATGGGGCTTGTATTAATTAGGGGGTCTGCTGCCCCCCCCCTGGGCGAAACAACCCCGGAAGGGGCCTCCTGGTTTTTGTGAGTTCCCACCATCTTTTTCCCTAACCCAAACCAACCCCCCCTGGGGTTGGATCCAAGGGGGCCCCGCTACCAACATCCCGGGTTTTTCCCCTTTTTCCCAACCCCACCTGGGGCCCCCTGGGTAGTGAAACACTTCTGGTTTTATCCAAGGAACGGTGCAAAACTACCTCGTTTCCCCCGAAGTCTGCTCAAAACCCACCGGCTGAATCCCCCCACTGGTCACTCTGAAGCTCCCGAAACCCCTGGGGACTCTAAAAACCCCCCCGCCCGCTGAAAACTGAAATATCCAAAAACACCTTTTTTAACCCCTATGCAAACCCCCCAAACAAAAGGCGCACCACTGAAATCCCCCAAACCTTGGTTTTTAAATGGCAGGGGAACCCGCCCTGTGTGATCGAATATGACAGTATAACCATCCGTGCGAACCATCCAGTTTGCGTGGATGGTTTCGTTTACATAGGCTTAAAGCTTCTGGAGGCTATAAGATAGTTCTAACATACATTTTGTTAGTTATTCTAGTGTCGTTTCACCTAACAAGAACTAAGAGAGTAGATCCCAGAGACAAGTGTGTGTACACTCTAGTCAGGGGTGGCGAGCCTTATCATGTTCGAAGGCCGCTTTAAAGTAATCTAGTAATTTAGTTAGCAGTAATCTAGTAATTTAGTTAGCAGTAATCTAGTAATGTAGTTAGGAGTAATCAAGAAACTTTGTAAAAAGTTAATTTTTATGTAATAATCATGAACTACACCAGCACTGTGCTATTCTGAGGAAAAAACTTCCCCTCACTCCTTCAGTTGCATCCTTGCAACATTGCATAGCTCCTGATGACGCACTGAGAATTGTGAAAGTACTTGAGCTAAAGATTTCCAACCCCCCCCCGTGGCATGTCTTGCATAGTGGAAAAAAACATTATTAGAAGACAGGGGAAGTGACGTGCCTCTTAATGCCCTGGAAGGACACAGGTTCCCCACCCTAGACACTTACGTAGAGAAGTGTTCAGTTCTGTGACCTTAACCAATTGTAATGATGTCATAAGTGGTCAAGAAAAAGGTCAAGGCTACAAGGTCAATGTCCCAGGACCCAAATGTATCTAAGTATCACTTAACCATTAACAATATTTATACCAAGAACTGAGGTCCCATGAGTGAATGCTAGTCTCCTGTTTATTAGCAGTTCTTCTCTCATCTCTCTTCATCTACCCTCTTTTCCTCTTTTATACAATATATCTCGGGGAAATATTACCTTCGTAATGCCATCAGTTAGTATCCCCCAGGAAATATCACATTTTCTATCTCATTAACTCCAGTTTCTGTTAGCGCGACGAGATCCGGCTTGTCTTCCTTCACTCTTCCATTGACCTCCTGTCTCTGCACATCCATTCGTATTTATTTACAATAAAATTCACTCCTATGGAAGAGAGGAAAGGAGCTCATGGATGTAAATACAGGGTCACGAAGGGGTCGAAAGTGACATTGAAAGGTCCTAACATAGGCCAGTAGGCCTGCTAAAGTTACAAGGTTATTAAAACACGTGGAGGAGGATGGTGGTTCATTTTAGCAAGTGTGAAAGACATAACTGATTTCCTGTTTACAGATATTCCTGTTTACCGTTTTTCTCACTGTTGGACGAGGCAACAGTGAGTCAGCAGTGACTTAACAGAATGGTTTAATGCAGACTGAGGTACCGCCGGAGGTGGAACTACCAGTGTTACTGGTAGTGCCAGTGGAGACTGATATACCAGTACTGATGGTTGGGATACCTACGCTGATACTAATGCCACTAGTACCAGTATTGCTGCTGCTGGTTCCTGGTATGATAAGAATACGACCCTGGCGAGAGTGGTCGTTCTGGGGGACTGGGGCGGTGGACACGACCACAACACATAACAGAAGAACGACCCAGGTGGTCCTCATGGTGATGGTGGTAGTTGTGTTGATGGAGGTAGTGATGAATGGTGGTAGTTGTGGTGATGGTGGTAGTGCTGACACTGGAGTCGTCTGTAAACAAACATAAAAGTCGTATTTTAATCCAGATTTCTGCTGATTTGTGGGAAGTAGATTTTTGCCCCAGATTTTGTATGAATAAATTGATTAAAAAAAAATTATTATTGAGCAATAAATCGAGATAATAGAGAGTAAATTTATCAAGGAGAAAACAACATGGTGGAGAAGGGCTCTTGATCTGAGGGACTGGAGAGCTGCTGACCCCTCCATCAAACATTATTATGTCGTATCTCTGCAAAAATTGGGCGACCCCCCTTACTAGTTTAACGCTTCCTCGTGAATATAGTAATAATAATAATAATAATAATAATAATAATAATAATAATAATAATAATAATTATTATTATTATTATTATTAATATTATTATATTATTATTATTATTATTATTATTATTATTATTATTATTATTATTATTATTATTATTATTATTATTATTATTAATACTTAATTCACTGGTAAACAACCATTAAATTTAATTGTCAAATATATTTGATAGAATTTAAGGTATGTTGTTTATTCTTAATAAAGTCTGCTAAAACTAAGAAAAAATCATAGATTTGATCAAATAACGTTATTTTGCTAATTTTGACGTGACGCTGTTGAACAAGACAGGTGTTGGGCGCCACATATGGTCTGTAAAACCTGTGTACAGTACTTAAGACAGTGGAACAATAGGTGGAGGTGAAGTTTAAACTTGGGTGTGTCTATGGTGTGGAGAGAACCGAGAAACTTGGGTGTGTCTATGGTGTGGAGAGAACCGAGAAACTTGGGTGTGTCTATGGTGTGGAGAGAACCAAGAAACTTGGGTGTGTCTATGGTGTGGAGAGAACCGAGAAACTTGGGTGTGTCTATGGTGTGGAGAGACCGAAAACTGGTTCTAGGTTGTGGAGAGAACTAGAAACTTGGAAGTCATATGGTGTGGGGAGAACCGAGAAACTTGGGTGTGTCTATGGTGTGGAGAGAACCAAGAAACTTGGGTGTGTCTATGGTGTGGAGAGAACCGAGAAACTTGGGTGTGTCTATGGTGTGGAGAGAACCGAGAAACTTGGGTGTGTCTATGGTGTGGAGAGAACCGAGAAACCACCACGACTACAAGAAAGTCAAGCGGGAATATCCTGAGTCAGCAAGGAGACCTGTGCCACACAGTGATGGTGTTACCATATCAGTGTTTACAACACTAACTGACCTCCCCCTGGTCAGATGTTGAGGAAACTCAGTGTTTAGGATGTAACACAGATGATAACAGTGGAAGTAAATATGAGGTATATTTCAACAGCCCGGCAGTTCTGTCAAGAAGACCTCAGTGATCTGATATGTGACGCCAGTCTATCAAAGCATCTGAACTTT